TTTTTTTTTTTTTTTTTTTTTTGAGACGGAGTCTCGCTCTGTTGCCCAGGCTGGAGTGCAGTGGCCGGATCTCGGCTCACTGCAAGCTCCACCACCCGGGTTCACGCCATTCTCCTGCCTCAGCCTCCCGAGTAGCTGGGACTACAGGCGCCGCCACCACGCCCGGCTAATTTTTTATATTTTTTAGTAGAGACGGGGTTTCACTGTGTTAGCCAGGATGGTCTTGATCTCCTGACCTCATGATCCGCCCGTCTTGGCCTCCCAAAGTGCTGGGATTACAGGCTTGAGCCACCGCGCCCGGCCATCCTCACATTCTTAATAGCTACAAATCTGGAGCTCCAAACGAAGCCCTGCTGACAGAATGCCTCTCTGCTACCTGTATGACATTGGATAGACCCCTAACCTCTTGGCTTTCTTGAGTCTTAGGTGGTAAAAATGTGAGGGTGCTATGAATTTACATTTGGGGCAGAACAAAGTCAAGAAGAGCCTGTATGTTTTCAGTCTTCTTAATTAGAATGTATTCCCTCTCCTATTGAAACCGCCATTGCAAAATTACAACCGAGACAGTGAAAGAGAGTTGATCTAACCAACTCCATCTTGCTTGTAACCTCCAAGCTGTCCTTGTTCATTCCTGACCATAGGCTGAACTAACTTTGGGAGGAACTTAGTTTATAGTTTAAAACAAAGAAGATAACAGCCCTTTCCCAAAAGAAACCCCCTTTTTGCCTGGGGACTAGAGTGCCTTTGTAACAAAATCAGCCAAAAGATTAGAAATTATGGTTTAGGAGTCATGCAGCTAGAGGCTACAGGGTCCTTTTTTCTTTTTCTTTTTTTTTTTTTTTGAGATGGAGTCACTCTTGTTGCCCATGCTGGAGTGCAAAGGCGCTATTTCGACTCACTGCAACCTCCGCCTCCCGGGTTCAAACAATTCTCCTGCCTCAGCCTCCTGACTAACTGGGATTACAGGCATCCGCCACCACACCCGGCTAATTTTTTGTATTTTTAGTAGAGATGGGTTTCACCATGTTGGCCAGGCTGCTCTTGAACTCTTGACCTCAGGTGATCCACCCACCTCAGCCTCCCAAAGTGCTGGGATTACAGGCGTCAGCCACTGCGCCCAGCCAAGGCTACAAGATTCTGACCATTCCCCAAATTGTTCTTGGGGATAACATCACTATATAAAACCTAAGATCATGCTCACTTCAGCAATACATATAATAAAATTGGAACTATAGAGAAGATTAGCACAGCCCCTTGTGCAAGGATGACATGCAAATCCATGAAGCGTTCCATATTTGTTAATGTTTTAATTTTTTAAAATCATATACATAGGCCAGGTGTGGTGGCTCACGCTTGTAATCTCAGAAATTTGGGAGGCCAAGGCAGGTGGATCACTTGAGGTCAGGAGTTGAAGATCAGCCTGACCAACATGGTGAAACCTCATCTCTACTAAAAATACAAACATTAGCCAGCGTGGTAGAGGGTGCCTGTAATCCCAGCTACTCAGGAGGCTGAGGCAGGAGAATCACTTGAACCTGGGAGGTGGAGGTTGCAGTGAGCCGAGGTCGTGCCATTGCACTCCAGCCTGGGCAACAAAGTTGGACTGCGTCTCAAAAAAAAAAAAAAGAAAAAAAAAATATATATGTATGTGTGTGTGTGTATACATATATATACACATACGTGTCATATATACGTTATATATTATATATGCAACATAATATCAGTGCTTGAGATATTCTGCAGAGCCTACGCTTGATTGGCTAGGCACAGTGGCTCACACCTGTAATCCCAGCACTTTGGAAGGCCAAGGCAGGTGGATCCCTTGAGGACGAGGGAGTTTGAGAGCAGCCTGGCCAAGATGACAAAACCCCGTCTCTACTAAAATTACAAAAATTAGCTGGGTGTGGTGGCAGGTGCCTGTAGTCCCAGCTTCTCAGGATGCTGAAACATGAGAATCCCTTGGGGAGCTTGCAGTGAGTCAAGATCATTGCGCGACTGCACTCCAGCCTGGGCAACAGAGTGAGACTCTGTCTCAAAAAATATAAATAAATAAAATAAAAAAGACCTTGCACTTGATGGATCAGCTGACCATCAAGTGGTCAATCTTGTGGCTCTGGTCAATCTTGTGGCTCCCCAAGAGCCACAATGGTCAATCTTGTGGCTCC